CTCCAATATCAGCCGCAGCACCCAAATCATGATGTCATCATGTCAACTAATAGAGAGGGACACGTTTCTTCTGCTACACTTTGATTGATTATGTGAGATAATCATCTTAACTGGAATCCTGTTACAAAATAAAAGCACTTAAATTTGTGCTTTTCTTTAACTTTCTGATCTGTAGATCCTTGTTGAACTTGACTGTGATGGTTGTATGAGTTTACTTTGCACGTGTTGTCAGAGTGTTTAGAAGCAAACGATGAAGCAGGGGGACAATCAGTCATACGTGGAGGAAATGGGGCAATCTGGGGCTGCGTGTCAAAGAAGTGATGGATTTTAATGCTGTGATTGTAGTTAATGGCTCTTTAAATTAAATCGAGATTAAATGTCTCTGGCTGCAGTCACTCTTCATCCTGTCCCTCATCCTTCCTACTCGAAGACTTTCTTTCCTCAACTTTACATCAACAAATGGCTAAACGAACAGCAAATACAATACAGTACATTAATGGATTTTCTCTGCAACAAATTGATGTGCAAATCAATATACATTTTGTGTACATAAACACATGAATGTGTTTACTGGACTTATGCAGTCAGTCCTCATTGTTTATGTAGATCTATTGAGAATATTCAGTTTAAAAAAGACTTTTTTTTGCTGCAGTGTGACACTCATTTCTAATTCCACTTGCTCTTTTCAAAGTCACAATATTGGGACGGCAAGTTATAATTGGGCCCATACATCCTGCCAAGGCAGTATGGATTAATTCAAGTATGCTAATGTAATTCAATTTGATACAGTTAATCTTATACTAATACAGACTGAAGGATGTGAGGTGAAATCAAATACCTCTTAGCCATTTAATTTGCATCTCAGTTTTTAAAATAAAATTAGTCAATTTGTAATTATGTGACCTAGCCCATAATTAGTTTATTCTTCACTGCAGTTAACTCCCCATTAGGAGTATCAGAGAGAGAGAGAGAGACAGAAAAAGAGGGAGGATGAGGGAAGGAGATTTAATTATTTAATAATCAGCTTCATGGTGAATCATGTATTGTTTGTAACTCTTGCTATATTAAAAAGCATTGGCTAGTTTAATCTTTAACAGTGCATCATATTTTGTGTGCTAACAAATCCTTATGTGCAATGAAAGCTGTAACTAGAGCCATCAGATATTGTAAATACAGTGAAGTAAACAAATCCCATCTGACACGTAGTGAAGTAGAAGTGCAAAATAAGATTAGATGGATTTATTTAAGTCAAGTACAGATGCCTCAAAATTACACTTCAGTACAGTATTTGGCTAAATATACTTAGTATTAATCATTCTAGTACTAGGTTGATGTCTGCCCATCCACCAACAACCTTTTTCCAAAAAGTGCAAATTTTATTCAGATGTTTTGTTCAATACAAGAGAATTTTCTTGGATGAAAATTTAGCTAAATAGTTTTTGATGTCACAGTGCTCTCAGTTATTGCATAATGTTACTTATTTTCTATGTAAATCATTTGACATTCTTATTTTCATGATGACAACTGAAGCCTTAGCAAGGCCAAATTAACTGTAATTGAGTTTCTCTGTTCTGCAGTCCAAGTGGTCCAGAAAGGGATTCATCAGAACTCGATGGGCCTTGGCTGACTGGTGAGTTATATTAATATTCCCACCTTATCCCTGTTCCACGCATTGTGATTAGAGACAGAGATCTAGCCATGTCAGTCGTTTCTGACTGTGTCCAGGAGCCACAGCAGCCTGTTTGGCGTGCGCTTATCATAGACAGAGAGAGCAAGTTCCATAGCTGTACCCTCTCCTGACAGTGTGCCACAGAAGCGAGAGTGGATTTGATTATACATAATCATGTTAGTCAAGCAGTTGTGTATGACGGATGACAAAAAAGATTACATGCAATTGAACATGTATGGGATGAATGCGAATATTGGCTTCCAGTGTGCACAGCATGGGATTGGGGAAGGGGTGGAAGGTGGGGATTATAATCTAATAGAGGGATGACATGAGAAGTAAAGAGCTGAAATGGTAAGCATTTAATAGGGGCATGACGTTTGACGAGCGGCAGAGAGAAACAGAGAGAGAGGCTAGTGAAGGTCAGATTGGAGACAGGATAGACAGAGTAAGCAGAGGCTGTGCATGTATTCATTTGTTCAGTATGTCAGTGCAGAATAAACCCCCTGAGATAAAACCAATTCCTCTGGGTCACCCCGCTGAACGCTATACTAACAAAATACCCCCCATCAGCAGGGAGATGTTCATCAGTGTACATAGAGATCACTTGCTTTTCCCTGACAAGACAAACTGAAAGAAGGCAGATTAGTGTTTGTAGTGGTATCTATACACTCATGCTGTGTTTGCAGGCCTGGGTTGGGAAGTGTCTGCAGAGTCTTTTACATTTTATTTTGTCCTGTTTACTTGAGGAGTCCTATTTTTTCCTGTCAGGAAAGATATTAAGAAGCTCACTCGCAGTGCTTTCTTTCATCCCCAGTGCCTTTGATTTGGTCAACATCCACCTATTCCATGATGTTTCCAACCTGGTGGCCTGGGAGAAAAGCCCCTCTGTCTACTCTGGCACCAGGCAGAAGGCCCTGGGCTACGTTTTAGACAGGTGAATGCCACACACCACTTCTATTGCTTATTTCTCTATCCACTTATTATATTCTTGATGAGACTAAGGCTCAAGTTTCTTTTCACTGACATATGAGTGTAAATAGGCCAAGTCCAGTCAATTCCTCCCTGGGGGGCACCTGAGTGTTTGTTGGACTCATGCATATCTACTTATTGAGAAGCATACTAAAATTAAATTGCAATTAACAAAAGGTGTTTCAGGTGAGACAAGTTATACTTCACGTGCAGCTTTCAAATGATTTACATATTGTTATTATATTCAGAAATAATTTAAAACAGAAAAATAGATATTTTACAGCATTTACAAATGGCAGTTGGAAATGTACAAAAGTATAGCAGATAATAACAATTTCAATTTTCTCTGACATGGTCTGATAAAACCTGAAACCTTGATATTGTAATCGGGGTTTAGGATGAGATGGAACAGGAGAACAGTGGAGAAGGTTTTGGTAGGATTCAGCCTGAGACCAAAAGGATTATATCTGCCTCTAGAAATGGGGCGGTCTTACTCACTATGTGTCTGTGAACTCCCAAGTCTCTTTCACCTTGTTGTACCCGGTACTTTTAACCATGCTAACTCTGAGAGACGAAGCAGTCCAAGTAACTTCAAAACAGTGCTGATTTATTCAATGAACACAAGTAAAAATTAACATTAAACGCTCAGGTATCTTGCTCCGCCAACATGCATGCAGGCAGTTGAAAGATGAAGGACCCCGAACCACAACAGGCCTATACATTATATCACTTCGGGCTAACCCCATTCTACACAGGAACGCCAAACCGTGACGTCTCCCGGTGCCCGCTTTGCAGCTGGTCATAGCAGTAGTCAAAACATCAATGTGTGATTGTCTGTTGATTATGTGGTGTGTAGCTAAAAACATTCTAACACGACCTCTAGTGACATGTCATGACATTGAACATAAGAAAATATTATGGCTATGGCTACAGTTATACAAATAATATTAAACATCCTGTCTTCTAACAGTCATCAACTTTCTATCTAGTTATCCTTGACCATAAGCAACTTGCAGCAACTCATGAGAATAACTAAGCATTTAACAGCCTGAGCTAGACATCCTGTCTACTCTAAACATTTCTAATACATCAAGTATCTAACCAATATCTATCCGACTAAAAATACCTAACAATTTGATTTTTTTCTGTTCCTCTGTCTAACTCCTGCTTACTCTTCAGCAAATTCCGTTTTACTGGTGTAATCCATTATTCATCCTCATTTTTGTCCCTCTACAGGCAAGCATAGGGATACAAATATTCATAGACTGGTCTGTTCAGCTACAGGTCTATCCAGTACTTTGTTCCAGAAATCCTATATAGTAGCTCATGAAATACTGGCAAAATATGTATGTTTAAATTAGGCAGTGACTGTTTTGGTCCCTGCAGGATCATTTTGGTCAAACTGAATTTATGCTTTGTTTTACCATCAGCTCAGAAATCCCCCTTTGCCCTTATTTCTAATATGTGCTATATAATGGTACTCTACAATAGAGAAATTATAATCTAAAAAACAGATTAGCATTTGCACATTCATTCTCACAGGAAGATAAATTGTAAGAATAAATGTAATGTTTTTAATTAGACTTGTGATGCTATCATGAAGATTTCTTCACTCAGCCCTGAATAAAACCAGGCTCTCTCCAAACCAACCTATCCATTCATAGGCCATGCTAATGTGATTTATGGGATATCCATTTGCAACAGAGCAGAATGACAGAGTGCACAGTGCAACCACTGCTCGCTACCTGGCCATGCTAACACAGAATAAAAGCCTAGTACCAGCCTTGAAGCAGGTGACTTCCCATTCAAATGGCATCAGAATGCACGACATGGCTCCCCGCCACCTCCACTTTGAATAACTACATGCATATATGAGTGGCATACATTATCACCAGGATTTCCAATGTGCATGAATTATGAGGAGCTTTTTAAGGTATTCTCTAAGAGGTCATATTTTACCTGCACTTCATTCTTGATTTGATGAAAGACTGGTCTGCCTTTAAAGGACATGGCATTGGGAGTTGTAGGACTTTGGTTCTTGTTACCATTGCTAACTCTGAGAGACGAGACAGTCCAAGTAACTTCAAAACAGTGCTGATTTATTCAGAGGATCACAGGTAAAATTAACATTACACGCTGAGGTATCTTGCACCTCCAAACTGCTCGCAGGCAGATGTAAGATGAAAAGACCCTGAACCCACCAGGCCTATACATTATATCCCCTCGGTTGGGCTAGCCCCATACTACCCAGAAACGTCAACCGAGACGTCTCTGTTACCAGCTTTGTAGCTGGCCATAGCAGTATTCAAAACATGAAGCAAATCAATGTGCATGTGTGTGTGTCTGTTGATTAAGTGGTGTGTAGCTAAAAACATTCCCACGACCTCTAGTACATGTCGTGACTCAAACAGAAGAACATATTATGGCTAAGGCTACAGTTATACACGTCATAATAATAATATTAAACACCCTGTCTGTTGACAGTCATCAACTCTTCTCTCTAGTTATCCTTGACCAGATGTACCCTGTAGAAACTCATAAGCATGCCTAAGCATTTAACAGTCTAACTAGACATCCTATCTCCACTAAACATTTCTAATACATAAAGTATCTATCCAATTTCTATCTGACTAAAAATACCTAACAGAGTGTTTTAAGAATATGGCAGCTTTTGCAATTTCTATTAAACTGTAACTTACCTGGATATATTGACATAATGCAGTTTCAAAAGGACCTCTGTTGTTGCTTACATTTAAGTGTTTTCCTCGTGTTTCCTCTGCTTTGTAAATACACCTAAATAGGAGTCGCTGAGTTTTAGTTGGTTGGCTAAGGGGATTGAATAGAAATAGTGTTGGCTGTGTGGCAGTTTCCACACTCCCTCTTTCTAAATCCTTTGTGTTGAGATGGCAACCTTGTTGTTACTTCTGGGCCATATCATACAGGGGTGGGGTAGCGGGGGCATCGTGCCTCAGTCGCTCACTTTGGGAGAAACCGTCAGGCACAGATATGAAGCACCGGAGTGAGAAAAAGCTGGCGGTGCAGAGGGAAGGGAGGAGGAGCACAAAGGGTGCTTGGGCTTTGTAAAGGGCAGTGAATAATGTGTCGGCCCTTTCAGAGGGGCTGCTAACCTTTTGGCAGCCACCAGCAAACTCCTTTCTCCTCTGCCGATCTAGGAGGACAATATGCCCGGGCTGAGCTTTGAATGAAGTGCTACCACCAACAGTGTTCCCATTCAGTGGCTGGTTGGGAACCATCTTTTTGGCCATTGTCCTAACTCTGACTCCTAGCCCCAGAAAGTAGAGCAGGAAAAGGGACAGGGGGAATATCTAAAGCCAGATTCCCTCCTCCTTCTTTCTTCTCTCTCCTCTTCCCCTCTCTGAGCTTTAATCTCTCTGTTGCGGGATGGGAGAGGTGCTGGTGTTCAACACCACCCGCTGAGATCCATAAAGCACAGGCACTGATCACACAGCAGTGCTGGGGACTCTGTCACCAAGCATAAAACCTCAGCCTCCATCTTATCTGGGGCCCAGGCCTAATAATGCAGTTTATGGCCCATTGAGAACTCATCTGATAAACCTTTTTCTCTGTGGCCCTTTTAACTGCTAAACAGTGTTTATCTCCAAAGTGCTTCAAGGCCCCAAGGGAACAATGCTGAGAAGGAACACCATTTAGCCAGCCAGATCTCACTTTTGAATCACATAAAAAAATGCTGCTCTGTCAGCCTGTGCTGATGTTTAGGACACTTCCATGAGAGCAGGGCTGCATCAAGTATTATTTACCTTGTTGAATCGGCTATGCCTTGATGTACAGAAATTGTTTTATAATTATATCAAGGTTTCATCATTTGTGTATCCACACAATGAATAAATAAACTCCATAATTTATGCATAGTTTTTAGCTTTGTCACTGGACATATTAAATTTAAGAAATAATGTTAAATTATAAGCACTCTGTTATAAATGGATGCCATGCTAGTGGGTTCTGTAAAATATTTAGTTTATTTGCTTTCTTCTGCATGAAACAGCTGTTGTATTCAAAGTGATGGTGAAGCCTCTGTTTTTCTTTAGAGGATGGAAAACATGGCTGGTAATGAGCCTGTGAAATGATAGCATAAGATAAAAACCTTTCTTTTTTTTTCCTTAAAAAATCTTTTTTGTGTATTGGAGTTTATTTTTTCCTACTCCATTCAAGGTGGCTAGTGCAGTTCAGGGTAGAACAGCTTTACATTACAACTGTGAAATCCTTTCATAAAGGCATCTATTGTTGCGTGCCATTATTTTCACACAAATATAGTCCATTGTCACAGTGCTGAAGTTAATTTGATCAACATTGAGGACATTTAACTGTTTTGTTCGCTGAAAAGACTTGTTTCATGCTCATTTTCAGGGTATTGAAAGGCAGTGATTGGCATAAAAATAATGTTGCCGTTAACAATTCAAAGCAATTAGTTTCCCATGGGGAGGCAGTGGGCCACACCGGCCACCACACAGTGATGCTTTGTCATTTTATGGACGGTCATTGGTCAACTGTCAGAGCGTCTGAAAGACCCCACCAATCTAAATGTTTCCCTTTAGGCTTTTCCCAGAACAACAGTTTGAAAGAGCAGGGAAAGGCTGGCTAGTTTCCAGTCAATAGACATACTGAGCTGGGGAGGGATGATTGGATAATCACAAGGAGATCCTCCATAAAACCAGAATTAATTTATTTAAGTGAGTAGTAAGTGTGTTCTGTGCAAGTGTATATGCGCATTATACACAAAGTCCACTTTTCTTAGTTTTGAATCTGTTATCTAAATTAAAAGTAGCTACTCTCAGACCTGACTTTGACAATGTCCCTTAACGACTGAGTCGTTGCAGCCCAGTATCGCAGCCCAGCTCCAGAGAACATCGCTGGTTTGAGAGAGGAGTTAAGGAAGCTATTTTTGTAAAAATAGAACACCCCTCACTAAATAGGGGTGGTGGACTA